GATAGTTGTTCAAAATGGCTGGATCCAGGGAAGGTTTCTTAAGGAAGGGTCTCACCACCGCATCCTTTAACGGGTGCGGGAAGGATCCCTCCCGAAGAGAGGTGTTAACAATCCCCTGGAGCCAGCCACGTGTCACTTCCCTGCTGGTCGAGACCAGCCAGGAGGGACATGGGTCCAGTAAACAGGTGGAGGCACTCACCGCTCCCATGGCCTTGTCCACTTCCTCAGGAGCGACAAGTTGAAACTCGCTCCATAAAATCCGATCAGGACCTTCCACCGGCACCTCGGCTGGTACCGTCCAAGTGGAGTCCAGGTCCGTCCGAATCCGAGCGATTTTATCTGATAGAAACTGGGAAAATTCCTCAGCTCTACCCTGTAGAGGTTCATCCGCATTCCTCCCTTTCAAGAGGGAGCGGGCTATCCTAAACAGAGCGGCTGGACACGATTCTGTGGATGCAATAAGAGTGGAAAAATGCGCACATTTTGCCACCCATATCGCCACTAGATAAGTCCTAACAAAGGCTCTTAATTGTGTTTGGTCGGATTCAGAGTTACTAGCCCTCCATCGTCGCTCTAGGCGTCTCTTTTGGCGCTTCATCTCCCGGAGTTCCTTGGTGAACCAAGGAGCCCTCCTGGATCCACTGCCGTGGAGAAGCCGTAAAGGCACAATCCGGTTTAGAGCCTCCGCCGCCACTATATTCCAAGCAGCGACTAAGGACTCCGCCGGACTGCAGGCCAGAGATTCAGGTATCTCCCCAAGTGCCGTCTGAAATCCTGTAGGGTCCATCAGGTGCCTGGGACGGAACCACCTAATCGGTTTCATCTCCCAATTGTTTATAGAGTTCTAGGGATTTGGGAAGGTTTTTTTCCCCACTGCTTTGGTCATTTCCCATTTATACTTATGTTAATCATAGTTGAAAAATTTGTTTTTACATTTTTAAATAGAATATAAACTGATCTAAACCCTATGATATCTGAATTTCACTACTATTTTCAGTTTAAAAGATTAAAAATGCATTCAGCCCGGTTTAATTTGTAGTTTTACACAAAGTGCCAAGTAGATGTTTTTGATGCTGCTTCTTCTTTTAAAACATTCCTAGAAAATTAAATCCATGAAGCAAGGAAACTGTCTCTGTGTGTCATATCAACTACAGAAACCACTGATGTGAGAAACTGCCAACTTAGAAATATTATCAGATCATTTCTATCAGAGTGAAAAACTAGACACTGTGCAATTTGCTGAAATTGAGTATGCATCA